AAGAGTGAAATGAAATTGGCAGAGTGGACAAATTGCATATCAACAGATTGCTTCACCAAGCTGAGAAGAAGAATCTAGTAGAACAACCGGCATTATTCCTACATTTGGGTAGAAAAAGGCTTTCCCTATGTTGGGATGATCTCCCACCCAAATCCACTAAATTTAGTTTCAAGCGAGACATCTCGCGAACAGGCCTCCTGAACAAACTCTAGGTAAAGAGCTACAAAGAATAATGTCTTGAAATGATGCTGCGTAGATGTCCATGTGTTTGAACTGTATTCGCTTTTCAAAAGCTACTTTTATTGGCGGTGTTTGATGATATATGTTCCCAAGCCAGCGATGTTTACCATGGCTTAATTGAAGTAGTGCGTTGAGGCAGGAGTGCTGCAGCCAAGTTTAGAATCCGTAATAAAGATTGCGTGCGGTAAGCATTGAAGTATTCACAATGGAAGTTCCACAGCATTCTGGTGTAATTGATCTGGGAGAGACGTTATATGGGATCGAGTGGTTGTTCCTGATGATACATGCAGCATTAAGTTTTTTCTAAATTTTCAAATGTCGCAGTGAATGTTTATACAACACGAAAATTGGTAAAGTAAAAGATTATGTTATCTCTTCAAAACAGGACCGATCGTGAAAGATAGATCAATTTTTAAGAACTTCAAAACCGATATCTGTCGGCGGTGCTGATGATGCATTGGTAGCAATTATAGGAAAAGGCACTTTATAACAACATTTTCAAGAACATAGAGAACCAGGAAGAGGTTTTGTAAAGATTTGATGAGAATTTTCTCAAACGTACTCAGCAGGATTAAATTTGTAGAAGTGTAATGTATTTTTAGCGTGAGCATGAGGTGATGACCTTTTGATTTAAAAAAACTATCTCAGAGTAAATGGTAGACTTTTAGCCCCTTTTTGATTTTTATCGCTATTCTGAGAGGAAAACATGAACATGGAAGAGTAGAGATTTGCAATGAATTTTTACTACAACATAGAGCATTTCAACACGCAATAAAATTATCAAATGTGATGCGAAGGTAAAACAACAATGAATATAGGAGATTAAAAACACACTTGTTTGCCTGGGTAGATAATAGATAGTAATAGAATTTGAATAATTGTATAGAAAACTTGAAACCTTCTTCACAGTTTTGTGATCTTCCTCTGTTGTTTATGATTTCGATTTGTCTATTCATATCTTTCTTCGCTGCACTTCCATCGATATGTCGCATTCCTAAATGCATCAATAAATAAATAGTGGACTGCCGGACAAAAAACTACTTCCTACTCCCGAGTTTGGCATCACGTACTGACGTGTCAGTTTGGATGTTGTAGCATCAAACCTGTAATCGCATGCTTAACTCGCTGCTGACGTCATCAGAAGTGGAGATGCCACGTGTCGCCCATCATTTCGATTGCTTCCTTGCCTATGGTAGATCTTTCATTTTGCGGAGAGCTTCAATATGGTTGCTTTCCAAAAGGATTCAAACTAATGTTTTCGGCACCGTTTGCAGTCATTTCATCTCTGTAAATCTCCAACACTTCCGTTGCTTTTCTCCGCTTTCTCGCCATCCTTTATCGCTTACGATTGTACTTGCAAACGAACTGAGATCTTTAGAGAAGCCCTGGATGGACCCGCAGTTGTCCTCTCAAAATGGCGTCTTCTCACTGATTCTACAGCGTATGATGCTAGAAGCGCACGCGGCTAATGGTGCCATCCTTCCCAACTTTGGACACGTATATCCAGCCGGCAAAGACATTTCGATGCCTTTATTACCACTTTCTAGAGGCGATTCAAGGGCCGGCAACGTCTCGCCATCGTCGCAATTATGGCGAAAAGATAGCGTCTGCGCACATAAACGCCAAAATTTGGAAATGAAGATATCACTATTGAAAAAACGAAAAGAGCAATTGGTCGAATCTCAGCCGAAAAGCGAATCGTGTCCAAAAACTAACGGAAGTGCAGAGGTTGTGAGAAAAGGTTTAGTCGATGCGCATAACAGTGAGGTTAGTCGAGAGAGCTCGGATGCGCAAAGTGACTGCTTACTCGACATCGTAAATGGCACAGATAGCGAAATGGATGTTGGAAGCGAACAGGTTTGTTTAGGCAATCAAACACTTCAGTCAAAAAGTAAAATAATTTTTGAAATAGTTTTGACCCAGATTATTCCAGGTGTTCAAGTCTCCCCATGCTGCTGATGTTCATTTCAAAAAGACCCACAAAAAGCCAGCTGTAAGGGTTCGTAATAGGCTCCTCTTTATGACTGCATAAACCAAAATATTCTGTTTTAGCCACCAACAGACTGTGAAGAATGTGGCAAACGATTTGCCTCTGCATTCCAGCTAAGAGAACACATATCTATTCAACATCTGTATGTTTTCATACTTTTCCTTAAAGTTTTTGCGATTTTCGCATTGCTTCAGAAAGGAGCGTAACTTTGTGTGCGAAGAGTGCGGACAGAAATTTGGAAGACGAGGAGGTGGATTCCCTCTTTCCTAAAGTTCTGGGTTTAACGCAGATTATGTGATGATTTAGGGCTGAGACGTCATGTGCAGATGGTACATCAAAATCATCTCCATATGTGCCCATACGAAGGTTGTGACCATCCGGGATACAAGTGCAGTAAGGTGAGTGGTACGAATCTGAGTTCATTTTCTGAACCATGTGAATACTCAGTGTCGCAGTTGTCGCACAGAA